CCCAGAGTTCAGCTTTTGCTACACTGAGAAATCGACTAAACAGCGTTAGCTCGATGGTGATGCTCTACGGAATGTCTGGACCATTGGGTGGTGGCGTGGGTGGTCAACCAGGATCATCTTCGCCTATGGCTGCTGGAGTACCCAAAAAGTAAGTGTCTGCTGATAGAACTTTTGAATTCCGGGGAAGTTTAAAAATTTTTTTATTTCATACCATTGTTCAGCCGTCCAAAGAGTGTTTCAGGAGTTAATCAGTCAGCTCCAGAGCCCTTGACACTCCGGTGGCATGAACTCTTAACTCATTTCCGTAGTGTTCAGAGCCGTCATGAAAGATACCGTCGCATGGGTGAGACTTGCATAATTACTCGAATTGTTGTATCAAAAACTCATCTTTGCCCCTGTTGACCTCAGGTAACCGTGGTGGTTTTGGTGCTGACCGCAACCCATCAACTTCAAAACGTCGAAGCCGATCTTCACGCATGGACGAGGATCCCAACTCCACATTTGACAGTCTTAACAGACCAATGACCCCGCAAAATGGGATGCCATCCCCAGGTATTGGAGGAGGAAATACCTCATCTGCATCGCTGACGGCGGCTGGAGGATTGTCAGTTAAGCGTGACCGTCAACCGTCATTGTCGTCATTGAAAGATTTAGAAGTTGGATCGACATCAGGTGGTGGTGGTACCGGTATGAGTGGGCGAGCGTCTGTTGAAGGCCTAGACCGTGTCGGGGGAGGTAATGGTGTAGGAGGAAATGGAGTCACTGGGGTTGGTGCCAATCGAGCAACAAGGGCTTTAAGTGGATCTTCTGGTAGCACTGCTGCTGCTCCTGCGGCGCCACCGCCCAAGGAAGCACCTAAAGGAATTAGAAAGGTGGTTGGGGTTGGTTTTGGGACTCGGAAGTAAATAATGACGTCTTAATTTTCTTTGCTTTTCTTTTTCAATCTGTCTTGTTGATTGTTTCTTACTCGATATGTCTCTTTTGTTTTTAGCTCTTTTTTACCATTGGTCGCGTTTCTACTGTGACCATCATTCATCTTTCTTATAGGGCTCGATTTATTATATACTTGCTTTTCCTTTTTTGGTTATTTTAATTCTTAGGAAGTATATTTTGACGTACAAAACACAAGCAGTTTCAATTTCCTTCCTCATTTAGAACATGTCCGGTTATTTTTAGAAACGAAAAAAAAAACCCAAACCTACAAAAAAATATGGCGTCGGACTTTTACAATTTGCTTGTGTTGTTTCGTAACAACCCCTTCTATGTAACGCCTCATTTGTAAGCCGAAGAATATAAAACCTACCAGTATCGCTCAAACCTCCCGAGATTCATTTTCCAACTTAACAAACGACTGTGTAATGCAGCCCATCACAAACCTCGTCGCGCTGGCGACCATTTTCTTCGCAGTCGCAAAAGCTTCTCCTCAAAACCATTATATCTACTCGGTACCCAACAGTAATCACCCAGTTGCTTGCGCGAATCCTTGTGCCAGTACAGATCCTAACTGCGACAATGGGTGCCTTATGGCTTCGTCGACAACCGTTGCTGCAGTTTCGATTTCAACAATATGGCAGTATGCTGCTACCAGTATTTTGATGACAGCCCAGGCGTCCACAACCCCGTCGCAGAAAGTTTATGACATTCCAAGCAGCGCTAAGACCACTGCCCAGGCCTCGACGACACCTTCCACAACACCAAAAGTCTATGACGTTCCGAGCAGCACTCACACATCGGCACAGATCTCGTCAACCCCCACTGCAACAAAACCTTGCACCACTCACATGACTAATCAGGCTTCTACCACTCCGACAACACAGAGGGTTTATGAAGTTCCTAGCAGTGTTATCAATATTGGATTGGTCTCAACTTCCACATCTACAACATCTACACCAAATTCGTATTTTGTCCCAAGCAGTGTCAAGGCCTCAACAACACCCAGCAGTACTAATACAACCGCACAGATCTCGTCAACTCCAATGACAACAAAGCCTTGCAGCTCCCACACCACGAAGCAAGTTTCTACCACACCAACAACGTCATCTTCGCAACGAGTGTATGAAGTTCCCAGCAGCATTCTACTGGTCTCAACTTTGTCGACTCCTTCTAGTTCAGCAAAGAGTTCCACCGCTGCACTTTCAACAACGCCATCAACAACGCCCTGCACAACAAGTACCACTGTACAAATATCAACCACACCTTCAACTTCGCGTACCCCTCCATGCACCACTTCTACGCCCATCTCGCTTTCGTCTACTAATGCACGTGGATCAACTTTCTACGACGTGACCGTGTTTCCTAGTGAAACTTCAACTATCGCAGCCGTTAGTCTAAATACCACAGTGATGATGTCAATTACAAGCAACGTTCCTTTCCCATACACTATGGCATCATCTAGAACCATGACCAGTGCTGCGAATTTTGCTACCACCCCACCTGCAGTTGCAAACAACCCGTCATTGAATGGTTCTATTCTTTATTCTGGTGTTGAGCGTGTTTCACCGCAGGGGTCTATCTTTGCTCTTTTGGCTGTCATTTTTGGAACTATCGCGTTGATTTAATGCGTTATTAGGCCCTTTTTTTGTAAAGTTTAATCCGTTTTTTTATGATGAAATGATTTCACGGACTCTTGAACTTTCGTTTGCTTAATGGATCCTTTTTCCCCTTTGCTGTTTTCGTTGTCGCGTGGTATTGAATAAAATGAATCCTGTATCCACACTTTGTCTTTAACGGTGATTGTTCTGTTATTTTTTGGAAACGCCATGCAGGGTAATGGGTGCACATTAGCGCCTCGTATCACTAGACTAAATATAGAAGAACTACAATGTCAATCAACGCCTCCCGTTTCTAGAACAACGGGAAAAAAGTCAAGCCCACACATCTACACCGAGGCCAAAACCGCAAATGATACCACCATGGCGTTCCGTCATCCCTTTACTCATTCTATGCCTACATTTCACATTCACCACACAACAAGCAACAGCTCAAGACCCTGGCGAATATATTCCCTTGCTGCAAGGGATGATAAATGATGCTATGGCGTGCAACCATCCTTGTGTGTATGGCGAGCCGGGCTGTGATAACGGGTGTGCTGCGAATGTCGTTGCGACTATTCCGACATCTGCACCGACTTCGGGCGCGAACAAGATCAGTTCTAGTAGTGTTAATGAGTTAATTGTTCTCTTTGTGTTGGGGGTTGCTTTCGTTTTGTAAAATTGGACTTTCAACTCGTTTCATTTGTTGTGTTCAATGCAACTTCACATTTATGGCTTGTGCTCGACAATAATTCAATCAAAAACATTCCCATGCATCATCATTGTCCGAAAATCATATGGTTACTTTATAACTTTATTTCAAAATGAAAACAGTATGGCAATGGCATATCATCCGAGTACACTACTAAAACCAAAAGGGCCAACGTCTTACGCTGCCACGGTCTCACGAGCTGGCCAAGCTCCACACACAACACAGAAAGACTGAGTGGGAGCTTGCAACTGCCAACCACAGTCCTTACAAGGGTCACTACCATATCTAACAACACCAGGTACATCAAACACATTCCGACCCGCAGAATCCTTCTCCCCAGTCTTACTAACAAACGCCTCTCTAAACACCCGATAATAATGCAAATGTTCAGCGTCACGAATCCTAACTCCATCTTCAAGCCAGATTTGAGCACGAATGGACTCCACATCGAGATCTTTTTGACGCTTTTCAAACTCGGTGCCTATCATTGTTGTTCCTGACCCTACTTCAACAGGTTGTTTTGTTCTCCAGCAGGAATATGCTTCTGGGAACGCATAACGTAGAATAAGTTTTCCGTGTCGTTCAGAGGTTGATTTTGTTGACGATTCGTTTGACTGGTTGCCGGGTTGGATTGGTACATCTACATCACCCACAAGATCCGATTTCTCAAGTGTCATTGAATATGCAATAACATCTGGGTCCAAAAATGGTTGAACGACTTGGATTCCAAGAGCTTTTCCAAGAGGAACTGCCGAGAATTTCATTGTCTTGATCATGTTGTCGATGTAACCTCTCAATGCAGCAGGTTCCATGTTATGCATGAAACTGTATCCAGCAAACAACTCGTCAGCACCATCGCCCGTGGCAATTCGATTCAATCCAGGCAAGGACTCCCTCATAAACATGAGTGCCTTTGCGATTGCAACTCCACCGCGAAGTTCCATCGGGTCAAACGAGCGTAAGGTAGTGATTGCAAAGTGCAATGGCATTGATGGAGATGGATCAATTAATACCATGGGATCATGAAACTTTAACAAATGATGAGTGAGCTTGTTTGACTTTGCAATGTGGGTTGCGTATGGTTCATCGGGCGGTGAAGGTCCAGTGGAAACTGTGATCGCATCTGTCAGATTGAGAATGTTGGTTCCGCCATCTGCAATGATGCTTGTGTCGAGTCCACCAGACAGTAGGATTGCGGGTGTTGGAGAGATAGCCTTGAGAGATGTCAAGAGTAGATTGCGAAGTTTGGCAACCTTTGGATCGTTGAGATGGCTGGTCATCACTCTCAGGAAGCCAAAAAAAACTAGGGCAAGGGTATAACTTGTCAAGCCAAGAATAAAATGAAAAGAAACCCAAAAGTTGTGCAATCACCATCTTTGGGGATTGCAAAAAAACGTGCTAACCTTGAACTTTCCATGTTAGCAACACGGAAGAACATAAGAGCAACCATGAAGGAAGTTGAAGGAAGAGGGAAAGAATGACGACGAGGTGAGAACAATCGTGACTTTTATTTTCTGCAGGACTCTTTCTTCCTGATTATCTCCTAAGATAAACAAACAACATATTTTTATCAATGCACACGCTTTTTCAAGGGCTTGTGGCAAAATGGTTACCGCGCTTGACTACGAATCAAGAGATTCCAGGTTCGACCCCTGGCAAGCTCGCTTCTTTTCCTTGGTCTTGGGGCTTTCTTTTTTCTGTTTTTTTTTCAGAGCTTGCCGCAGGATGGTGTCATGCACCATACCCTATTCCATCTCGAGCTTGTGGCAAAATGGTTACTGCGCTCGCCTTCGAAGCGAGAGATTCCAGGTTCGACCCCTGGCTGGCTTGAATGGCCATGATCTGGCCACTGGTTCTCTGTCCTGTTTACAATTTTGGATTTCTCTCTTTTGTCTGTTTTGTCTCTTGAAAAAGGAGGCACAAGTTTGTTTCGACAAAGGAAAAGAATGACATTGCCGACAGTAGGAAGGCAACATGTGGGGTCCTTCTCTCTCTTGCAAATGAAGTATCAAGGTCATAACCAAACATGAGTTGCGAAAACAATATCCCAAGCCTTGCTGACATACACTACCAAGTGCCTGCCTTACACAATAACCCCGCTTAGCTCATCTGGAAGAGCGTGAGACTGTAATGGTTGTCAAAGACATCTCAAGGCACGCGGTT